CCACAGAATGGGAAAGAATTTTAGCCAACAATTCCTCAGACAAAGGATTTATGTCCAGAACATATAAAGAGCTGAAAAACATCAAGTCCCCCAAATTCAAAGACCCTTCCAAAATGAGCACCTGAGATGAACACACAGTTATCAGAGGAAGATATACAGATGGCAAATGAATATATGAAGAAATGTTCACCATCACTGGTTATTCGAGATATGCAAATTAAAACAGCATTGAGATTTCATCTCACACCATAAAGAATGGCTGCCATCAAGAAAACAACTGATAACGAATGTTGGTGAAGATGTGGGGAAAAAGGAACTCTTTTCCACTGTGGGTGGGAGCGCAGACTGGTGCAACCACTATGGAAATCAGTATGGAGATTCCTCAAAACACTAGGATTGGAAGTTCCATTCAATCCAGCTATTCTTTTCCTGAGTATTTTCCAAGAAAAATGGAAAAGGTCATGTCACAAAGATATATGTGCACCCATGTTCATAGCAGCACAATTTGTGACAGCTAAATCTTGTAACCAACACGCCCATCAACCACAGAGTGGATGAAAAAAATGTGGTATTTTTGTACAATGGAATACTATTCAGCTATAAAAAGAATGATCTTGAGGCCTTTATAGGTAAGTGGACACAACTTGAGAATATCCTCATTAGTGAAATAAACAAGACTCATATGAGTAAATATCACATTGTCTCTCTAGTGTAAGAAACAATAAAAACTGACAGAATAATGGAATACAAAGAAGTATAATAGATACTGTGAAAGTGAAAGGGAAGGAAAGTGCTCTAAAGAGTATAAAGGTCTGTATAGTCTGTAAGATAGATGAGCATATTACTGAATCTCTGTTGGAACATTGAACAGAAGGATTTGTACTATCAATATTTGAGTGTCTAGCCAGTACTTATTTTTTGATTTTGTGACTTTGGCAACTAATTTTTAAGATGGCAATGAGAAATGTAACAACTAGTGATTCTACAATGATAATTTTTTTTTTGAATTTGGTATTGTTCTACACTTTTTTTCTGTTTTTTTATTTAATATTTTATATTTGAAAAAAGTGAACAATATGCAATATAACAACCATTAAATTTCTTTCATTCTCTTTTGAATAACTGTATTGTTATTGTTTTGAATGTGATATTATTGTTATGCCTTTTGCTTTTTGTTTTTGTTGTATGATTTTTATCTTTTTTAAATAAAAAATATATAAGAAAAATTAAAAAAAATGGTCATAGTAGCTGTGGTATTAAGTGGCAGGATATTTAATTATCATATATCTAATTTCACCAGATAGGCTCTTGATGCCAATGGTAGAAACAGAAAGCTCATTAATCACCTTATGAGAAATTATTAGACCAAAATGCCCTTCAAAGTTCAGTAGTTTAGAGTTGAGGTCTACTAAAAGCTCAAATTGAAATATATTGCAGATTTATATCATTATAAACATTGCTATGTACACCAATATTTACAGCTGTACAACATATAATTGCTAAATCCTGGATGTGACCTGTATGCCCATCACCGGACAAACAGACGAAGAAAACATGGTATTTATACACAATGGAATACTGTTTGGCTATGAGGAAGAGTAAATTCAAGACATTTGTAGGAAATGGATACACCTGGAAAACATGATGTTAAGTGAAACAAATCAGGCACACAAATTTAAATACAATATAGGAGCTCTTATTTGAATAGGGTAAGGTACCAAGAGCATAACATGTGATGGATATAATTAAATAGACGCGCAGCTCTCTTGCAGATGGGAAGGGGTCCAGGAAACCAAGGGAGAAGTAGAGGGGGGAGAGGGGAAGTGAGAATTAAGATACGCCATGCCACTTGCAGGAACCTCATCATTTCAGTGAGCTGAAACATTATGCTGTAAACACAAGCTAAGAAAAACAATTGTAACAGGAATAAAAAAAGGAGGGAGTATAGGGAAAAAAGGAATAAGAAAAAACAAGCGGTACTACGTACTTGAAGTTACTCTCACCAAGATGAATGTAAGCCTCATGTCTAGGAATCAGGCAATTATAAATTTAAATAAACAATTTATGGAGAAATAATGTCAGATTATGTTTCTTTCTAAAACACGTATCCGAGAAGAAATTGGCATTTGGTTGGAAACAATAACACACAGCTGCTGTAGGAGAGTCGACCTCAAACCATGCAAAACTTCCACGATGAGGTACCAGTTTCAGTTTTAGTGTGAAAATGTAAAGTAAAACCCAGAAGGTGAAAACCCACAACTAAACTTGCTTCAAAAGAGAATACTTCAGCACCCACAGAAGTGAAACAAAGATTTGTGAAGCACTGTTTTTTTTTTTATTTTTTAGAAATATAAACCAGTGAAGGGTCCAACAATGACAACTTAGCACCAAGTAGCCTTGCTGGGGGGAAGAGAAAGTTGACCTACCAGGCCAAAGACCGGGGTCCTTGAGTTTACAGTGGCCCAAAGTGTGTAAGATTGTGAATAAATCAATTTCCTTTTATAGTACCTATTTCACAAAGTGGCACAGGATGTACTGACTTGAAGTTCTTGAATCTAACTACTTAGCAATGTGACCATATGAGCATTATTTCTTGAATATTAAATCTTACCTAGTGAATGATATGCATATGACACCCCCTGATTGACTCATGTCATACTAGGATAGTAGAACAAACACATCAAAAATAACCTTGAAAATCTGAATACAAGTATAAACGTATTAGTATTTTATTTGCTTTGCTATTCATGTAAAACATGAAACTTCGTGTGAGGAAGTAAAATAAAAATATCTGCAAAATCTTGGGGTCATGGTGGGATATAATAAATAGAGACATAATACCTGAGCATATAATGGATCACCACAGTGATTAACAGAAAGAAAGAGAAAATATATATTGCTGAGTTCTTTTCTAAAACTATTCTTTTGTAATATTGCTCTTAAAATTTTAAGATAGCAAATCTTACTAAGATTTCATAATAATGATAGCAAATGTCTGATGCTTAAAGTCTGTTAAGAAAAAGACACAATGTATTAAACTTTACCCAGTATAATTCAGGAAACCTTAAACTACTTCAACTTTCTTCCTAATTTAGTAACTGCCCACAGTCTGTGTGGCCTAAGACTTCATTTGAATATTTAAATGAAAATGAGTTTCCTTAAGAGTTGTTCATATTTCTTTGGTTGAATTGCAAAATGTTAAAATGAGTGATAATCAAAGGTGGCAAAAATATATGGAGAAAACAATCAATCTCAATCATTTTAATCTCGGAGTCCTAAAGTTAACACATCAAGAAACAAGAGGACAGAAACTTGATGCCGTGAGTTACCTGTTTTTTCATATCCCTACTTAAATACAGTGTGGCAGCTATTAGCAAGTCTAATGAATGACCCACATGTGGTATATCTCTAGTTATGAAGAAAAATATCTCAACCCAAGTTTTGAAGATAGTGCTATTCAAAGGCTGTATTACTGCGCATGTTCAGTATATGCTCCTGTATTTGTGGGTACTCAGTAACTGCAAAGTTTCATGAATCAACAAATCCCTACAGTAACATTTTTTCATTAAATAATTTGAACAAAAGTGTGAATCCTTTCTTGTGGCTTTAAAACAGAGTGATTTAAGTTATGAGAGGTTCAGGGTTAGTGTGACAATTTTGGGTTTCTGAATGGAGGGTCTGAGGATCACTGTAAAAGAAGTGGATGACAGCATTTCTCTTCTCTAGCCTGAGATTGGGAAAGCAGGTCCAGCTTTCTTTAACGTTTGGGAGGAAGGATGTACTTTCTATCAGTCCCACTGACAAAAAACATCTCACCTAAATTTCACATTCAAGAAATACAAAAGCGTAGATTATCACAATTAAATAAAATGTTTGACAAATAAACTCAGAATTTAAATTTTCTGGGTTTTAACTCTATTGTATAACTTCCTATCTGTGTGCATTTTTGAATTAATTAATATAGTTAAGCCTTCCATTTATTTGTATGAAAACAACTAGTACTTATGAAGCATTTATATGCTAGTATATACATATATAAAAATATAGATGCATATAAATTCTTTTGATCCTCAAGACAACATTATCAAAGCTATTATTTTCCTCATTTCATGAAAAGAGAGTTCAGAATTTAAGTCATGCTCTATGGCTAACAAACAGACAACTGGGGATTTGAACACAGTAACCTGGTCTACCTTGCTTGCACATTTAGCCCCTACACAGCACTGCTTCTCAGTGCAGGAGAGAAAGTCATAGTTCTGCTGCATGGGAGGATGATTAACAGTAGACCTGCCTGTGAACCATCATGTTCAGGTTCTAGCAGAGTTCATTTTCAGAACAATAATGTAAACTGCTATCACTTGCAAATATTAAGTGTCCAGTACTTCCAGGCCCACTATACACATTTAATTTACCCTTCATAATATCATTATGATATTATTCAAATGTAACCAACTAAAGTATCTTGACACAAACAAAATAATGAATGAATGAACGAATGAATGACAAAGCCAGGATTTGCATAAGGTGTTTGATTATTGGCCAATACTCTACTGCTACAGCATTTTCTCTCTAATGTTCCATAATATCATAAATCCAGTAATATATTCATTTATAACAAAATGGTACATATTACTAGAATGTGTATTCTTTATAACAAAGGAATTTTCTTACATATAGTTATTATGAAAGCAATTTATTATATTAAATAGAATTTCAACCCTTATTGGCATGTTAATTTCATAATCATGTAAAAGATTGTAAAAATAGCCAAATAATCTGTTTCATTAGTTTGCAGTAGATCTAGGTTAACTATTTGTTTTCTAAAAGTCTCTTACATTATTTATCATTAATATACAAATTGAGTGCAGATATATTTGTGAAAAAAATGAATGCATAAGATAAGAAATCAAAAGGGTGATTTTAAAGCCAGGATGGGTCAATCAGTCCACGTGGAAATGTTTATTCAAATGTCCATGGCTGCCTATGCAAACTGTACTCACCACTGGAATAGTTACCCTCTGGAATTTGAGAGCCGGTTTCTACCAATTCGATCCACGGGGATACCAAATCGCCTTTTTGGATGATTGACTGCTTTCCTGAAACAAATCAAGGAGAATATATTTAAACTAAAATCGAGTTTATTCCTTATTACTTTTATTCTTCATTACATGAGATCTGAGAACTTTGGAACTGGAATAAAGATGATAGTTACCATTCATCAGCTGCCTTCTCACACTTAGAATATGTATTTAAATAGACACGACTTCTGCCATTTCACACACAAGGACCTTGAAATTTAGAAAAGGTAATTTGTGTAAATTCAAATATAGCGTGTGAATAAGCAGATTTCCTCAGTATACTGATCTGGTAACTGCACAGTTTTGTGGCTTAACCTCTTCCCTTCTTTTGATTTTGCTGTTGCTGCTTTCTGCTATGTTTTTTGAGACAGGGTCCTTGCTATGGCAGTTTAGGCTAGCCTTGAACTCACTATGTAGCCCAGGTTGGCCTTGAACTGGTAGCAATTCTCCTGCTTCCTGAGTCCTAGGATCACAGGTATGTACCACCATGGCTGGCTTCTTTTTAGATTTGATTCCTTTGGTAATTGTGGAAAATTGGATTGCATCAGTGGTTTTCCTCAAACTCTGCATTCTGCAAAAGGATGATAGTGGAAAAGAAAGTGGTAGAGATGCTAAGACTAAGTTTGTAGTGTGTCTCTGAATGGCACTTACAGTTCACCCAAAGAAACCTTATATGTGGTGGCCTGTGTTCACTTATGCTGTCTTTATGTTAAATATTGTTTAAAAAATTTAAACGGGTTTATTATTAAGCTGAAGTCTGAAAGAAATTCATGCAAAAATATAAGAAACCTATCTTCTGGTTTACACTTTTATATATTAGCTCTTTAAAAATAAAAAAAATATTTTTATTCAATTTGGTATTATCACTTATTACTTTCAAACCAAATTCCAGAGGATGACTTAGAATTTAAAGTGTTACTTTCATGATCTGGCTTTTGAGTTAAGAGAAATTTCTTTCTCTATTGTTGATAAGGCTAAGTGGGATAAACTAAAAAGCCAAGGAAAATGACTTTTCTCACATCCTAAGACAATTGACTTCCAGTATGTTAGGCTTTTCGTTGACTTACTTATGCAGAGAGGAGGACATTCTATAAGCAAACAATGTTAGGCATCTCAGATTACAAGTGCAATAACCACTCAGAGCCGGAAACATAAGATTATCAGTAATCGCAGTTTCAGAATAGGAAAGAATCTTGAAAGCTGTTCAGTTTTAAAGTTTTGCAAATGAATGCCAATGATGGATTTTTTTGAAGATCTCAGTGATGTGGGTTTATTATCTTACAATTTAATTCTCAACAGTTTAGTGTTAAAATAAAAGATTTCCTTCACAACACTTTCAATAGCCGCTTCAGTGCTTTTCTTCTTACTTACAACATATTGTTAAGCACTAAGACACAATTTAAACACTAAAAATGAATCGAAATCTCAATTTTGGAAATTTTTATAGTATCATTCAATTATTTTTTATTATACTGTAATTTACCATATACCTGCTAGCAATGTATGAGATTCATGTGGTTGTCCTTATATAGATGATCCAGAAGTAGTTTTTCCTTTTAAAATCCTTTAATTACTCTTAGGCGTAATATGATTTCATGCAAATAGTAGAGAAAAACATCTCTCACTTTTACTTAAGACAATTTTTTCCTGAACAATGATTCTGATATTATGATTAAATAATTTATTGAAAGGTTCTGAAAACTATGGAAACAATAGATATATGATAGATTTTTCTTTGTTGTACCTTACACATAAAAGTCTATAAACTTGGGGCTGGGGATTTAGCTCAGTGGCATAAGCTCCTGCCTTGCGAGCAGGCAGTCATGAGTTTGATCCCTGGTACCAATAAAAAGGAAAAAGACAAAAAAATTATTAAAAAAAAGTCTATAAACTTTGCTTATTTAAAATAATTAGATGAAGGCAATCAATATAAATTTGTTTTCTTTTATGTGCCAGGTACAGTAAATAATGCTGTGTGTTCTGACCTGGTACATACCTGCAAATGACATGTAGGAATAGTGTCCTGTTATTTTTCCCATGTGATTCAACTTCCTGCTGTTCCCTATCCATCTTACTTTTTAGTCTGAGTTTTTGTTTCACTGTCTGAATTGAGCACATGCGAGCCTGTAAGAATTTGTTTCCTGTACAGCATTTTGTTCCATTGATTAGATAAGGAAAAATCTAGGAGAAAAATATTTGTTGCATATTCTTGCCATACCCATAGCTCTGCCTTCTTTCAGATTTCTTAAGTGAAATCTACTATCTGCACTTTTGGATTGTCTGATAACGAACTGACTCAATAATTTTCAATTCATTGACCAAATTGGAAAGCATGCATAGCTGTCATACTTTGTTATAATTATAGATAACAGTTGTTTAAAAAGAAAAATCTTTTCTTTACATTTGAAGTGATATTTATCCACACAAATATATTTATTGTCATCAATCAAAGAAGATATTTTCCTAGTGATAGTTGGAATAGTGGTTTTGCACAGATAGGCACCTTGTAATCCCTAGAATCTGAAAAGAAATCTTTGCAGAAAAAATAAGATAAAAACTTTGAGATGGGAAGATTGTCTTGTAAAGAATAGTTCCAATCTTGCCACTGGCCTTTAAAAGTAGATGATGCTAAAACAGAGTGGATCAAACAAGAACAGTCACTGATAACGCATTCACCCATCATGGCTGGCTTTGATGATGAGGAAAAACATCTTGAATTAGGGAATACTGTGGCCCTTAGAGGTTCTTGAAAGAAACAAGGACCTCAGTCCTACAACCATAAGTGAGTGAATTCTACAAACAAGTTGAATGGCCAGAAAACAAATTCTCTCCAAGGGCCTTCAGGAAGGCTCACAATCTGCTGATTTATTTTATTCCCTCTGTGTCCATTTCAGGCTTATATCTAAGTGTAGGGTGCTGCTATACAGAAAATGCTAAATTGGTAAGTTTTTTCCCAGTACCCTTGATTTCCTTTGCTAACTCTTGCACCATGAGACCTTCAGGAAATGGGTAAGATGAGCCGCTCAGGATGGAGAAGCATGCTCAGGGGTATCTCGGGGAAAAAAGGAGGGGGAACTGAAAAGCCAGCCCCTTTCAGGGGATTCGAGGACTGTGAAGAGGAGAAGAAACAGAAGCTGGAGCAAGTCATGTGACTTGCACATCGGTTTCCCAAAGAGTTGATGTCATGAAAATCCTTTTCTTTATTGAAACAGAAGTGTGATTCTCTCATAAATCTTACGCATTAAAATAGAATATTATCAATTAAGGTTTTCAAAATGAGGTTTACAGAAAAGAAAGTAACATTTTGTTTCCTTGCTTTGCTACAGTTTATCTTTCCCTGCTCTAAAAATGAGAAATTGCTGTGATACCACTGAAAATAAAATAAGCATCTTCTCTTTCCTTCCTTCCTCCTTCCCTCACTTACTTACTTTCTTCCTTCTTTCCTGCATTCATTTTCTTCCCTTCTTTCTCACACATCTGCCTATAAAATTATTAGAACAAAAAACAGAGGACTTAGCTGATTCTTTTACTTACTGTTAGTTTTTCTGCAAATCTGCTACTCTAAGTTTTTTTTTTCTGTTTTGATAAAAATTCAATATACCTGATTTTTCTTTCTTCTGAAGTTGTTTATTCATTTATTATACTTATTTGTTAAATAGCATTGGATTGTATTTATGTAAAAATATTTGTCCTATGCAATGCCAGTACAGTAGCAAATAACCCATATTTTACTCTTAGAATGCATTTTAGTTTGAAAATATGTAACGAGGTAGCACATAAATATTTTAACAGATAATATTCTACCAGTGTTGTCCAGTGGTTTTCATATCATAGACAGCCTAGATTATCCACAAATGAAAGTTTTTAAAAGTGCAATATCTAATGAGTGAATTGTGTCAGCAGAAGTTTGCCCCTCCTTCTCGCTATATAAAATCACACTTGAAAGAACTTCCAGAAACAGTGAATTTTCCTTGAAGACATGAAAATGACAAATGGTTATCAACTCAGTCTTCACAGGGTTTTATTCTAGTAAAAGATCCGTAGTTACTTTGACTTATTCTGCTACATTTGGTATTGGTTGCAAAGGTCACTGCTGTCTAGCAATTGATTTTAAATTTAAAACAATAAAACCAGCGGTGCAGATAATATATATATATATATATATATATATATATATATCATGCGGCATTTTCAAATCTGAACACTTGTAAAAATAAAAACAATTCTTTTCAAGGAGTACATAAAATTGTTATAGTTCAGCAAGCTAATAAATATTTGCATTCTATATTCATTCAGAAACAAAATAGTTACCTAGCACTGTAATTACTTTAAAGTGTTAACTGATGGGAAATACATATAAAAATACTACCCTCTGTGATACATGGATTGACAAAAATACAAACTATGTAAAATAATAAACAGCAGAGAAACGTCTTAGAAACAAAATGGAAAGCTGTAGCTTTTGAATATCTAGTCCCTCTTGTGACGGAATACCGGTATGACATGGCTTATATGAATTTAAAACAATTCAGTATTTTCATTTAAAATACTCTATAAGAAGTTTAAGGTTGTAGAGTATCTTTCAAAGTAATAGGAAGAGAAAAATTAGGTTGGATGTTAAGCACAACTTTAGTGTTCATGCTGTCATATAGACTTTCTGTGTCATGTAGGACTTTTAAAAAAAATATTTATGTCCTTGAATAATTCCATTTGACAGGTATTTGAAATTCTAAAAAGGCAATTCAAAATGTATTTAAAGGTGTTTAGAATCACTTAACACATGAGTTTGCAAATTTTTCTATGCTTTATTAAAAGAAAATGAAAAGAAACACCCTTATTTGTTACACTATCATAAGAAGCCAAATATTATCAACACTTGCTACATTCCAGTGTTTTCCTCCCAAATTTCGTATCTCATGACTCTGCTCCAGAGGTAACTTTAGATCTCTGAAGAGTGGCTTAATTATTTCTTGAGTTTCTCCTTATAATCTACTTGCTTTCTTAAAAACTTTGTTACA